GTCAAAATCAGCCACCAGCTGCCTTCCTCAAAGCCGATAACCAGTGGTGTAATACAAGGTGGTGTTCTTGGCCCTATTCTATTCCTCTCATTTATAAATGACATAGTCTCTGTAATCAAGTATGGCAAGCCATGCCTTTTTACAGATGATCTCAAGATAGTATATGATTATGGGTGCGGTGATATGAGCGTCGAAAGCAAGATCCAACAAGACTTAAATGATCTAGGCGATTGGAGCGAAAAGTGGCAACTGACTTTCAACCCAGACAAGTGCGGTATAACCCACCCTGGACGCTGGAAACCGAGAATGTGCCTATATATGTACGGTAAGCTCCTCTCATAACTAAACACAGTCACAGATCTCGGGATAACATACTCAGATTTATCCTTTTCCGATCATGCAAACAAGGTTGTATCTGACTGTAAACGACTTAATGGCTTTGTACTGCGTAACTTCTACACCCAAGAAGCAAGATTAGCTATATATAGGACATGTATCCGTTCCAAACTTGAGTATTGTGCTCTCCTATTTAGTAACCTCAGGTCTGCAGACAGAAAAAAAATCGAAAGTGTCCAGAGATTCCTCACAAAACGCATAATAGGGTCCGACCAACAAGTGGAATATGTTGACAGGTGTGTACGTCTGAAATTAGAATCTCTGTGGTTAAGGAGAGTGAAGTGCAACCTATTTCTACTCTTCAAAGTCATTAGGAAACATTGCTACAGTAACTCATCCACACAGAATTATCCTCTCAGAGTGCAACACCAGCTGAAAGGCTACTAGTCCAGTCTTCAGTATAGCCACATACGTATATCTCGACTCTAATACTCACGCAGCGAACGTTAACTAATTTACTGATTTCTATTCTCTATAATTTTCAATAAGTTGTGTCGGTAAAAGTAACACTGGAAGTAATTGTATTAGCATCCACACCTTTAACGTTTTACATATGTATATACTAATATAATAATACTTATTAAGCATCCATGTTCAATTCTTAAATAAGATGGATATTAAAATATTCAAAATATTAATGCATCACATGTTCTCTTGCTTTACCACGCTTGTTTCATTTATAACACCCGATTATTGAGCCTGGTGTATTATTTGATATACGAATTATATTATTGATTATACTCTTATCATATATGGTTTGATTTACTTTACGGCTCCCTATGGACTAACCACCATTCTTCAGTATACACACACTGCAGTATTGTTAACCAAATGCCAAAATTTTGTTGGTTCTATGTTAATATCTTTTTACAATATGTCTAGACACGTTACTTTGCTATGTCAGATGTTTACTATATATAAGTACACCAAGTCCTGCCAACCGACCTTACGTTCAGTTCATACTACCTACATTGAACCTTAACTACAGTGTTCTGCTAAATCTTGCTCCACCATTCACAAAACCTATTCGTTTTACTCTTTAAGTTTTTGACTTCTTATAAAGTAATCTGTTCATTAGGATGCATGCACACATACATAATATGTTCATAAAGATGTACGTGGAGACCTATTGAAGGCACTCATTAAGAAAGCTAGGGAGATGGAATATGGGGTACGAACATGTCTGGTACCAAGCAATATATTTGCGGTAGCCATAATAATCATAGTCTCAGAGCCTAACATCAAAAAAGGAGGGAGGGTGGCGCTAGCTGATCAGTAGATATGGTGGCGGTCACTGAGGTGAATCGCCTCATTCTGCAGGAAAAGCAATATGCAATTTGAAGGCTCGAGATTTCCATGATTTTTATGAGGGCTCAGATCTTTATCTTGAAAAGGATAATAATGAACGCCTTGACAGATCATGCTTCTGCCTTTAAATATATACCATTCGCTCAGCCTATTGTTGAGATACGACCACGCGGGATATGCACAGATTTATGGGGCATCTTATAAATTAACTTGCTATCCATTGTCAGATATTTAAATACCACTTCACAATGTCTTGTCTCATTCATCTTCTAATAACATCTTTACTTGATCCTCATTATATTCAATTAAACCTAACACTTTATAGCTGTTTATGAATTTGATTCGACTTGTTCTATTCCCATTCTCTGTAGGGTACGGTTGTGCACCAAATAAACAAAAAGGCATGAAATAAAAACAACTGGCTTGAAAATAATTGTATTAGAGCCAAAAGTGGACATCATGATAGTACGAAGTATATGGGTATTATTACACATTGCAAATGAACGTTGTCGGCCTAGGGATTAATTGCTTCCACATTCTGTTTTCTATATAAATGTATTTATCAACGATATATTTCACTCACTTAATCTATTACACTTTAGTGTTTCACCTTAGCACTTTAACTTTTCTAAAACAGCTTTCAATCCCTTGTAAACGTTGTACTTACCTCAATATTGGTTGGTTATCGTATGCCTACAACCACGGGATGAAAACGAAATGAAGTCGGTTTTCCCACTCAACCTGGAGGACAACTGTACAGTTCAATAACTATACGGCCTGGTTCAGACAATCAGTGTAATTATATATATGTATCAAATATTTAACTGTTGAAACATTATTAACTCGTAGACAATTTAAGATTTGACATTATACAATACTTGATCGTGCCTGTAAAAATGGCATGCATTTTCATGTAAATTTATGTTTATATGAAAATAAAATTAATATTATTATATCAAACACAATGTAAATCAACAGAAACATTGATCCGTGTACTTTCTGCATCTGCTCTCTTCTTCTTTTAATAGTTGGCTGTGATCTGAAAATTAAATTAAGAAAAAAACAGAGGAATATCAAAGAGAAACGTAGTCGTTTTCTTAGTCTCGACTAGAATCTGTCGTGACTGTTATGGAACCGACGTTGAATGGAAGTCATGACGGCTTCCACTGTGCTACGTTTTCCAGCACTACCTTGTTGATGAAACCTGTTAATGGTTCCTAAAAACTACAATGAAAACAAAATTCATTATAATAAAGGTTTTCGTATTTTCCAATGAGTGAAAAACAAAACGAAATTGTTTTTACTGACGTTTCGCTATTTAATGCTGATAGCTTTATCAAAGAATAGAGCAAAATTCACTTACAGATTACAAGGTTACAGGTCCCAGTGTCTTTGAATTGCCACTTTTCATTAGTAGCTGCTCATGCGTTAGATGCTAGATCCAACAAAATATTCATGATGCGACCAAAGGAGCTTTGGACACTGGAGTCAACTAAAGTGCCAGGGTTGGCGGACAAACTACGACGGTGTTCCTCGTCGGACAGTTTCGTCTGAAAGGGAGAAATAACGGTGTCGCTGTCTAACTGCCACCTACCTGAAGACTTCAACAGAATTCACACAGGAGACGTGCTGGTCAATGCTGTCGGCCACTTTGAGTCGTGAGAGCGTAGCCTCAATTTCAGCGACACGTGATTCCAAGTGTGACTGGCTTGCCCACATAGCCCTTAGCATTTCCAAACAATCAAATGTGCAAACATCCATCTCCTTAGTCCTCCAGCACCTACAAGTAATATTTGAGATGAAATTGAACTTACATGTCAACGTGTACCGAACTGTAGGTATTCGACGTTGGAGCTACAGAAGACAAGCCGGAACGAAATTTTTGTATTTAACTGTAATATACCATTCATTTTTGTTCACATTAAGTGGCTTTCAGAAACTGGGTGTGTCGAGCTGAAATTCTCTGTCAGCCAACAACCGAGATGGATGGTTCAAAGGGGGCAGCATCCATCGGAACCTTTCTTTTCGACTTCGTAACACTGGGAATATCAGCCATGAATAAGAGCTTATCGTTTTACCCTGCATTAGCTTGCGAGCTCCGTGTCCTCAGATGACGACTCCCTAAGTGATGAATGCCACACTCCCGATGCAGTTTCACTGTAACAGTCTCCTCAAAATTATCTGAAAAGGAACACTAGTAAAAAATGTCACGTTACTGCAGCGCCCCAACAGAAGGAACTCATAAGTCACAAAACCCGGTGCAACCTCTACATGTCCCATGAATTCATCACATGTATACGACCGTAGGATGATCAATCACCCACATGTCGCAAACTACCAAACTCTTATCCAGGGCAGTGACCTTGACAACCGTGAAGTGCCTAGTCATCTGCAAATAATGTATCACTATTAGATACGATAATAGTGACATAGGAATAATAATATATTTATTCCTGTTTATGCAGGAACATACCAATTGTACAGGCATGGATAAGTTATTATATAAATTACACATAATTTGATGTATGACGAATTTACAGTTTGGTTGTTCTTTCTGACATGAGAGTCAGTCGGAACAGTCTGCTATCAAGCCTGTTTGTGTGACAGATAAAGAGATAAAGAGGCCTCATTTGATGCAGTAAAACAACCCAAAATGACCTTATCTAGTTTTCGCCTCCACGATCAAATTTATTTCCTGTTGTAAAACTACGATAAGACTGCTGAAAAATGGAATAAATATATCACTGATCTCAACATAATACATCGATAAACTTTAAACCAAGGGTGTTGCGCACAACAAAGTTATATAAGAGAATTGACTTCAAGCTTTTTTCCCAGATATCCGTATTACATTCATCTGATGTCTGGCTTTTTTTAATGCGAAGACAATATTTCTATATCTCTTTATGTGCTACACAAACAGACTTTATAGCAGACTGTTCCGATGAACTCTAATGTCAGAAAGAACAACCAAACTGTAAATTCGTCATACATCAAATTATGTGTAATTTATATAATAACTTATCCATGCCTGTACAATTGGTATGTTCCTGCATAAACAGGAATAAATATATTATTATTCCTATGTCACTATTATCGTATCTAATAGTGATACATTATTTGCAGATGACTAGGCACTTCACGGTTGTCAAGGTCACTGCCCTGGATAAGAGTTTGGTAGTTTGCGACATGTGGGTGATTGATCATCCTACGGTCGTATACATGTGATGAATTCATGGGACATGTAGAGGTTGCACCGGGTTTTGTGACTTATGAGTTCCTTCTGTTGGGGCGCTGCAGTAACGTGACATTTTTTACTAGTGTTCCTTTTCAGATAATTTTGAGGAGACTGTTACAGTGAAACTGCATCGGGAGTGTGGCATTCATCACTTAGGGAGTCGTCATCTGAGGACACGGAGCTCGCAAGCTAATGCAGGGTAAAACGATAAGCTCTTATTCATGGCTGATATTCCCAGTGTTACGAAGTCGAAAAGAAAGGTTCCGATGGATGCTGCCCCCTTTGAACCATCCATCTCGGTTGTTGGCTGACAGAGAATTTCAGCTCGACACACCCAGTTTCTGAAAGCCACTTAATGTGAACAAAAATGAATGGTATATTACAGTTAAATACAAAAATTTCGTTCCGGCTTGTCTTCTGTAGCTCCAACGTCGAATACCTACAGTTCGGTACACGTTGACATGTAAGTTCAATTTCATCTCAAATATTACTTGTAGGTGCTGGAGGACTAAGGAGATGGATGTTTGCACATTTGATTGTTTGGAAATGCTAAGGGCTATGTGGGCAAGCCAGTCACACTTGGAATCACGTGTCGCTGAAATTGAGGCTACGCTCTCACGACTCAAAGTGGCCGACAGCATTGACCAGCACGTCTCCTGTGTGAATTCTGTTGAAGTCTTCAGGTAGGTGGCAGTTAGACAGCGACACCGTTATTTCTCCCTTTCAGACGAAACTGTCCGACGAGGAACACCGTCGTAGTTTGTCCGCCAACCCTGGCACTTTAGTTGACTCCAGTGTCCAAAGCTCCTTTGGTCGCATCATGAATATTTTGTTGGATCTAGCATCTAACGCATGAGCAGCTACTAATGAAAAGTGGCAATTCAAAGACACTGGGACCTGTAACCTTGTAATCTGTAAGTGAATTTTGCTCTATTCTTTGATAAAGCTATCAGCATTAAATAGCGAAACGTCAGTAAAAACAATTTCGTTTTGTTTTTCACTCATTGGAAAATACGAAAACCTTTATTATAATGAATTTTGTTTTCATTGTAGTTTTTAGGAACCATTAACAGGTTTCATCAACAAGGTAGTGCTGGAAAACGTAGCACAGTGGAAGCCGTCATGACTTCCATTCAACGTCGGTTCCATAACAGTCACGACAGATTCTAGTCGAGACTAAGAAAACGACTACGTTTCTCTTTGATATTCCTCTGTTTTTTTCTTAATTTAATTTTCAGATCACAGCCAACTATTAAAAGAAGAAGAGAGCAGATGCAGAAAGTACACGGATCAATGTTTCTGTTGATTTACATTGTGTTTGATATAATAATATTAATTTTATTTTCATATAAACATAAATTTACATGAAAATGCATGCCATTTTTACAGGCACGATCAAGTATTGTATAATGTCAAATCTTAAATTGTCTACGAGTTAATAATGTTTCAACAGTTAAATATTTGATACATATATATAATTACACTGATTGTCTGAACCAGGCCGTATAGTTATTGAACTGTACAGTTGTCCTCCAGGTTGAGTGGGAAAACCGACTTCATTTCGTTTTCATCCAGTGGTTGTAGGCATACGATAACCAACCAATATTGAGGTAAGTACAACGTTTACAAGGGATTGAAAGCTGTTTTAGAAAAGTTAAAGTGCTAAGGTGAAACACTAAAGTGTAATAGATTAAGTGAGTGAAATATATCATTGATAAATACATTTATATAGAAAACAGAATGTGGAAGCAATTAATCCCTAGGCCGACAACGTTCATTTGCAATGTGTAATAATACCCATATACTTCGTACTATCATGATGTCCACTTTTGGCTCTAATACAATTATTTTCAAGCCAGTTGTTTTTATTTCATGCCTTTTTGTTTATTTGGTGCACAACCGCACCCTACAGAGAATGGGAATAGAACAAGTCGAATCAAATTCATAAACAGCTATAAAGTGTTAGGTTTAATTGAATATAATGAGGATCAAGTAAAGATGTTATTAGAAGATGAATGAGACAAGACATTGTGAAGTGGTATTTAAATATCTGACAATGGATAGCAAGTTAATTTATAAGATGCCCCATAAATCTGTGCATATCCCGCGTGGTCGTATCTCAACAATAGGCTGAGCGAATGGTATATATTTAAAGGCAGAAGCATGATCTGTCAAGGCGTTCATTATTATCCTTTTCAAGATAAAGATCTGAGCCCTCATAAAAATCATGGAAATCTCGAGCCTTCAAATTGCATATTGCTTTTCCTGCAGAATGAGGCGATTCACCTCAGTGACCACCACCATATCTACTGATCAGCTAGCGCCACCCTCCCTCCTTTTTTGATGTTAGGCTCTGAGACTATGATTATTATGGCTACCGCAAATATATTGCTTGGTACCAGACATGTTCGTACCCCATATTCCATCTCCCTAGCTTTCTTAATGAGTGCCTCCAATAGGTCTCCACGTACATCTTTATGAACATATTATGTATGTGTGCATGCATCCTAATGAACAGATTACTTTATAAGAAGTCAAAAACTTAAAGAGTAAAACGAATAGGTTTTGTGAATGGTGGAGCAAGATTTAGCAGAACACTGTAGTTAAGGTTCAATGTAGGTAGTATGAACTGAACGTAAGGTCGGTTGGCAGGACTTGGTGTACTTATATATAGTAAACATCTGACATAGCAAAGTAACGTGTCTAGACATATTGTAAAAAGATATTAACATAGAACCAACAAAATTTTGGCATTTGGTTAACAATACTGCAGTGTGTGTATACTGAAGAATGGTGGTTAGTCCATAGGGAGCCGTAAAGTAAATCAAACCATATATGATAAGAGTATAATCAATAATATAATTCGTATATCAAATAATACACCAGGCTCAATAATCGGGTGTTATAAATGAAACAAGCGTGGTAAAGCAAGAGAACATGTGATGCATTAATATTTTGAATATTTTAATATCCATCTTATTTAAGAATTGAACATGGATGCTTAATAAGTATTATTATATTAGTATATACATATGTAAAACGTTAAAGGTGTGGATGCTAATACAATTACTTCCAGTGTTACTTTTACCGACACAACTTATTGAAAATTATAGAGAATAGAAATCAGTAAATTAGTTAACGTTCGCTGCGTGAGTATTAGAGTCGAGATATACGTATGTGGCTATACTGAAGACTGGACTAGTAGCCTTTCAGCTGGTGTTGCACTCTGAGAGGATAATTCTGTGTGGATGAGTTACTGTAGCAATGTTTCCTAATGACTTTGAAGAGTAGAAATAGGTTGCACTTCACTCTCCTTAACCACAGAGATTCTAATTTCAGACGTACACACCTGTCAACATATTCCACTTGTTGGTCGGACCCTATTATGCGTTTTGTGAGGAATCTCTGGACACTTTCGATTTTTTTTCTGTCTGCAGACCTGAGGTTACTAAATAGGAGAGCACAATACTCAAGTTTGGAACGGATACATGTCCTATATATAGCTAATCTTGCTTCTTGGGTGTAGAAGTTACGCAGTACAAAGCCATTAAGTCGTTTACAGTCAGATACAACCTTGTTTGCATGATCGGAAAAGGATAAATCTGAGTATGTTATCCCGAGATCTGTGACTGTGTTTAGTTATGAGAGGAGCTTACCGTACATATATAGGCACATTCTCGGTTTCCAGCGTCCAGGGTGGGTTATACCGCACTTGTCTGGGTTGAAAGTCAGTTGCCACTTTTCGCTCCAATCGCCTAGATCATTTAAGTCTTGTTGGATCTTGCTTTCGACGCTCATATCACCGCACCCATAATCATATACTATCTTGAGATCATCTGTAAAAAGGCATGGCTTGCCATACTTGATTACAGAGACTATGTCATTTATAAATGAGAGGAATAGAATAGGGCCAAGAACACCACCTTGTATTACACCACTGGTTATCGGCTTTGAGGAAGGCAGCTGGTGGCTGATTTTGACTAACTGCTCTCTTTCTGTGAGAAAAGAACTTATCCATTTGAGAAGTTTTCCGGTTATTCCGTAGGATCGGAGTTTTGTTAGGAGTCTGATATGTGGGACTTTATCGAAGGCCCTGCTAACATCGAGAAACAATGTTGTTACCGAACGCCCATTATCAATGCATTGTGTAATGTAGTCAAAATAATCTAAGTGGCAAGTTATGCACGACCTTCTACTTAAGAAACCGTATTGGGATGGGGATAGTAGGTCATTTGACAGCAAGTACTGAACGATTTGAGTCTTAACTATCTTTTCCATTACACGTGAAACTACAGACGTGATGTTGATGGGGCGGTAGTTGTTGATATCAGCTATAGGCCCGTATTTATGGATAGGTACAATATAAGACTTCTTCCAGCAGTTAGGGTATGTCCCATCGCTTAATGAAATAGAGTATAACTTGGGTAAGAGTAAACTCATGTCATTACCACCGTTTTTCAGCAGAACGGAAGATAAACCGTCTGGACCAGTTGTGTTACTAAGCTTAAGTTTTGCGACAGCTTTATCGATCTCATGTGTGGCGAAAATTATGTCACTTAAGCATTCGTCTGTTTTACGTGGGAAATCCACGACCTCATCGTTCTCTAAGGTGTATAAACTGGCGAAGTGCTTGATAAACAGTTCACATATCGCCTCATTATTTTCGTAAGCAATGCCGTCTAAGTATATTATTTTCGGATAGGGTGTTTTGGAGTTCGTCAGCCTACTTTTAAAAAGTTTGGCTATTCCTCCTGAGTTATGCGGTGCATGAATGGCCTGCATTTCTTTGTTTCTGAGGCCTATATTTCTCAACTCTTCAATTCTACTGAGAAGGGACGTTATGGCAATTAATGACGATAAGTCGGGATATCTGTAGTATTTTATTGAGTGCTTTCGTAGACTTCTTCTGAACGATGTTGGAATATAATCACTTTGGGGGAATCTGAAGCTAAGAATCTTCTCGGGTGCAATGACGTCGTGAATTGAGTTAATATTCTGATAGAAGTTGTTAAGAATTGCATCTAAGGACTGGCTCGAAAAGTACGAGTCCCAATTAGAACATCTAATTAAGTGCCGATACAAGTCCCAGTCAGCATGTGTGTACAATCTCATAGGAATTTGGCCAGCTTCATCTCTGCGTTTTCTTTCAGGAAAGATGTCAAAAGAACAAACTACTATTCTATGGTCACTACCTGGAAATTCCTGTCCCACATGTACTGTAGATGGCGTTATGTTGCTCGTGAAAATAAGGTCTAGGTTATTTGCGGATCTAGTGGGTGAATTTATGTGTTGTGTCTACCCTCCTGTGACGATGGAATTTATGAGATTATCATACCTTTGGGGTCCTCGGAGTGAAGACCATGATACTTCTGGCAAGTCGAAATCGCCTCCGATAATTTTATAACTGAAAAAAGATTGGCTGTAACATTAAAGATATTGCTAAGCATATTATCATATTCCCCGCTGGATAAAGGGGGCCGGTACACACAACCCACAAGTATAGGTTTACTCCTGACAACTTTTATTTCGACCCGGATCGAGTCATTGAGTTGTGACAGAATTGGGTTACTAAACTGGGTTGCACACATGGATTGTTCACAGTAAATTAGCGTTCCACCCCCACGACCTGTCCATCTTTCCCCTCGAAAAAGGTTGTATTTATCAATCCTTAGGCTGTCATTGGAGATTTCACTTGTGCACCAGGCTTCGGTGATCATAATCAATGACTGTCTGCATATAGAAGATAATGTACTTAGTGCTAAGTGTTTGCTTAGAACTAATCTCGTATTTACTAGGATAATAGATAAACACTGGCTATGTGGTTTCAGTGAGCGGACAACATCTTGATAAAATAATCCGTGAGTATCCTCTATATACATGTTATCAGACTCATTTACCAATATCTTTGGATCGTAGGAAGACTTCAGGTAGATTTTTGAGGTGGTAGTCAGGGATGGGCTTTCGTTTGGATATGGTATGCAGTGAGAGACACCTGTGTGATAATCAGATATTAATATTTTAGAGATATTAGTATCCGCGTTTGGAGTCGACACTGTGTCAGCTACCTCCCGGGAAATATGCCTTGCCCTAGCTGTAGACTGTTCGCTATGCCAGCAAGGAATTGATCCGATATCATGCGTGCTATATGCATGATTCCAGGTGTTTCTGTTAACTGACGCTGGTGAAAATCCTGCCCTAAGTTATAACCGATATGTGTATTCGGTAATTTGTTGCCAGTATAAGAATGAATTGTTGGTATCTGTTTCTGGTATTCATCAGACCATAGCAAGTTTTGTGCAGAAATCGGCACATGCTCCCAACTAGACACATAAGATGTATGAATGGGTTCTGTTGGCCTGCTAACTGTGGTCTGTGGCCGATGTTTGGGGTA